ACTAAATGCCACGTGCAGTTTGACGAGCCCGATCTAAGTTATAGCAAAATAAATATCTGCGCTCGCCATAACGGTCGCACCGTCAACATATTAATTTAGTATTCAGCTGACTACTTGATAATGATTTCTGCCATTTTATGCCCCCGTAAACGAAGTTTCGGGGGTATATAGTTTTTGTCGTGTCCGTCTGTGTGTCTAGCTGTCCGTCTGTCTGTCTCTCTCTCTCTGTTTGTTTATCCGCAAAAACTTTAACCTTCCCAATAACTTTTGATTTAGTGGAGCTATTGCATTCATATTTCACATGTGTATTTCTTGTGACAAGACCTTTCTTTGGGTACCAACAGATTTGACCTTTTGACATTGACCTTGTAGTTTGATCCACTTTTACACAAAAATTTTGAACTTTTACTTTGGCCATATCTTTTGAACAGTAAATACCAGGGCATTTATACTTGACATGTGTATTTTTTGTGAGAAGACCTTTCATTGGATTTCAACAACCTTGTCCTTGTGACCTTGATCCTAGAGATTTCAGTACTTATTAAAAAACGTTATCCTTGACTATAACTTTTAAACAGAAGGTGCTAGGGCTTTCATACTTCACATATGTTATCCTTGTGAGAAGTCGCTTCATTGGATACCAAGAACCTTGACCCTTTGACCTTGACCTTGGAGTTTGATTTACTTTAAAAATACAACCTTTACAATAATTTTTAAGGTTTAGTAATTATAGGGATTTCATACTTGACATATTTCATCCTTGTTACAAGACCTCTCATTTGTTACCAAAATCCCTGACCTTTTGACCTTTTCCTTGGAGTAAGACCCACTTTTACACAAAAATGCAAATATTTACTTTGGCGCTAGTTTTAAAACGGTAGATACTAGGAATTTCATTTTTCAATTAGTACTTTTTTTTGGCAAGACCTTTCATTTAAAACAAAGAATTTTGACCTTGACCTTGGAGATTTCTGTAATTACGAAAAAACTTTTAACCTTATTCATAACTTTTGAACGGTAAGGGCGAGGGCTTTCATACTTCAAATATGTAATCCATATGAGAAGACCTTTCATTGAATATATAGTGGTAGAGCGTTCGCTTCGTGATCGGGAGGCCCGGGTTCGATTCTCGATCGCGGCGCCCTGTCAAACCTAAGACGTAAAAATAGGTAGTGACTGTTCCTTCGCCAAGCGCTCGGCATCAGAAGTGAAAGTCACGGGTCTTTCGGATATGACCTTAAAAACGTAGGTCCCGTGTCACGGTAGGCGCTGGCACGATAAAGAACCCTCACTGCTCAATGGCCCTGAGTGCCGAGTATAGGTCTAAATTTGAAGCCCTTCACCGGCATACGGTGACGTCTCCATATGAGTGAAAAATTCTCAAGAGGGACGTTAAACAATATACAATCAATCAATCAATCAATCATTGAATATATAAAAAAAACCTTTACCTTGGCCTTGGAGTTTGACTTCTTTTTACAAACTTTTGAACAGTAAGGGCCAGCGCTTTTCTACTTACCATATGAAATTTTTTGAGACAAGACCTTTCGTTAGAAACCAACAACCTTGACCCTTTTGACCTTGACCCAAAGTTTGTCCTTCCTTCAAAACATGTTAACCTTGGTCATAACCCTTGAACATGTGGTCTATTGTTTTTTATTTCACGTGTTTTATCTATAATTAATTTAATTTCAATCATCATTCAATGCTTATAAATCTTCGAATAACAGAGCGAAATATTCATTACATCGATCTAAATGCCAAATTGAACGGTTAAGAAATATTTATGGGATATGAAAGCCTTTTAAAAAGATCCATAAATGAAATTATCTTTTGATTTATAAATGAATTCAAGACTTTGGTAGCGTACAACAAAATAAATACTTTTACAAGTCCAACATTTTTTTTGAAAAATAAAGGGTTTATATTTTCTGGTAGAATCATAAGCGGTGATAGACTAACAGTTAAGGCGTTCGCAACCTACCCTAAAGGTCATGCATTCGAGCCCTGCTTGGGGCAATTTTTTTTTTTTTGAATTCTATTCCGTTTCCTTATTTTTACCAAATCAAGATGTGTGTGAACTGTACATTTATAATTTGTGATAATAAATCACTTTTAAATAATTTTTCACCCATTAAAACAGTATTATCGACTGCGTAATTGTGGCCTCATGGTGTCTTAATCGTAGCTTAATGAAGTTTGAACATTAAGCACCTATAAGTTTGGCTTAATGGTTGCTTAGTGGTGACAATGGTGGTCTAAAAGCTACCATTAAGGACCTGTAAGCCTCCATTAAGCTACATTTAAGCACCCATTAAGGACTTTAAGATGGCTTAATGTTAACTTAATAGTGGTGTAAATGTTACTTAAAGGTGCTGAATGGTGACTTAAAGACATTCATTAAACCATCATTATTTACCTATAAGCCACCATTGAACCAGGCTTAAAGGCTGTGTTTCATCTTGTAAATATGAAAATATATCTTTGATAGGTATTGTCAAATACCTTCGCCTTATTCAAATTGATCCTTGTGAAGTCATTCAGTAAATTGATACCATCACGGCGAACGACCATAAGAGGATGAAATGTACAGCTGGAATATTTCTTTGTTTTTTCTATGATCATCGGTCCATTTTGCGTCAGGATCAATAACCGCCACTGACATGTTCTTCCAATTGAAATACGCTAGCTTTTTTCCACAAAGTTTTCAACACTTCATATTCTTTTTCTATTGTACAGGTTTTATAGTTGTATAATTGTTTCGGTCCAGCTGAAAGTTATTACAACCAAAGGAAGACGCATGCTCAACTAAAATATTATCACTATGATATATTTTTCAGATAATGGAAATGTCGCTTTACAAAGATATACTTATATGTATTACCGAGATCCAGTTGTATACTATTTACCTTCCTACCGGTTGTTTGATGGATCCACTACACAGCCCGGCTGCATTGATTTTACCTCCTTTCGGACATATCTCTTGTACATAACCGCGAGTGTTAATCATAACATTAAAGAAATGCGATTTTACATCATTAATCAAGGTAATAATATTTTTAAAATTAAATTTTAATAATTCAATTTCGGTGATATAAACGTTTTCGTTTTTAAATAATTACAATAAGATCTAATTGCATTGGATAATGATTGATTTATTCAAAATGTATAATTAAATTTTCTCCCGCCACTCATTTTATACATGAAATCATATGTAGGGAGAGGGCAAAACGTCATTTCTTTTCTAAATAGCCAAGTTTGAGCTATGTATCTTTGCATAGTTCTTCAAAACTGTAGACCGAAACTTGGCTGAATAATTGCCGATTCAGCGTTAAACAATATTCAATCAATACTGTAGATTCCTAAATAGACGCTTAAAATTGAATATTGCGTAATTTTGCAAGAAGCACCACACGCAAAGTACAATTACTTACTTTTTTTATTTTGCTGAAGTCATCAAATTTCTTGATCAACTGTCAATTTGCCTATTTCATGTTATATTCTAGATAATTGACAATTAGGGGCCCTTTAGCAATGATAATTACTCTCAAAATAAGAAATCTACAGTATTTCATTGAGTACATATTCAATTTATGACATTTTTCTAAAATTTCTGTGTTTCATGACAGGGACATCCACTACAAGATTCCAATATACCATTTGCCTGTATTGTTTATCAGAAGATCAACTCAGTGGGGAAGAAGAGATATCTGCCTCGTCATCAACTGTCATAAAAATACCGTATCTTAAACACATTTTCTCTCTGTATTTATCGTTCAGTATTTCTGTTGAAGACCTCACAAAAACTAACAGCTCTTCACTCTCCTTCTGTGAATTAGAAATTCATGGTAAGTGTTCATATTTTAATTATCTTGAATCATAAAGTCTGTCTAATTCAATGGACAGAACTGAACAAATATGACAATTCATGTTAACTGTGAAATTATATTTTTGTGGGTGTGAATTTTCATTCTTTTCCATTGTTTTCCGATACTTGAAAGACCACTGAATTCGTGTCCATCATGAAACGTAAAATCTTACAATGCGACTCAACAATTCTTCATCCACGATACTAAATCTCCGCGAACCGAAAGTTTTTCCTCAAACCATTACGACCCCATGAAAATATGCTATTTTACAAAATTATACCGACTAGCAATTTCAATTCAAGACTTGGTGTAGACAATTTTAAAGCATTTGCGTCAGGGACGGTATTGTTACTTTCAAAAGTAATCGATTGAATTACAATTACTTTGGATTTTAAAAGTGATCAATTACATCTGATGACTTTTCCTTCATGTAATTATGATTACGTAAGATTTTTTTACTGTTCAAGGAAAACGGCATGTTTTAATTCTTCTTTTTTTTAAAAATATCATTATTATTTTAATAGGTAGAATTCAGACAAAATTTGATGGTACATTGCTTTATATAGATATCGACAACTTATTTTCAGAAGATATTCATTGACTCTTTATTAGCGAGAAATAATTTTCACGAATTGTTCTTATTCCTCTTTGTAACCATAAGGAATATGTTTAAACGCGAGAGTGAAATTTTCACAAGCTATTGTCTCGCATAATGACGCGAAAATAAATTTCTCAAATACAAAGTGATTTACAATTCAAGAGCGCAAAAAGCACATAGATAATTAACATTTTCTTGAATTATAATGTTAAGCACTCGTGCACCCATTTTCACAAATTTGAATAACGACCGATTAAAAAAAAAAGTGTAGCACGTGCATTTGACGAATCCAGAGCATGTACATGTAAATGTAAGAAGTGTATAAACTGTCAGATGATCAATCGATTGGCTTGTGTGATAATTATATGCGGCGTTTATGCATATTATCATACAAAACACTCGATAAATCACATCATGAACCCCAAAAATCAGACAGCTATTCTCTTAACAGATCTGCTGACTGTTGATTTTAGATTTTTTGCGTCATTAATTCAATGACATTTTTTTTTTTGGCAAGGATGTCCATGGAACCATTACGGTAGCCCTTGCAGACCATGTTCTCTAAATTGTGATCAATGTAATGCTATTGACGGATCTTGTATTTGCAAAGCTGGTTATACCGGTGTAAACTGTACAAATGGTAAATAATCATACTGTTACATATACTTACAAATAATTTTCAAAGACATATATTTTTAAAAATGTGGTCAACAATAAAAATATTGTAAAGTTTCTTTTCATTCAAAGTTTCCTTAAAATATTGTAGAATGTTCGAACAACACCTACGGTGCTAACTGTGTGTACAGTTGTAGACATTGTTTCAATGATACTTGTCACCACGTGACCGGAAACTGTTTACTCGGTTGTACAGATGGTTGGACATCAAGCAAGTGCAATCAAGGTTAGTTTTTAATTTGAGCTGTTGAAAACTTTTTCCCTTGTCATAAAAAAGGGAGGATTAACTTGATTTTTCACTTTTTCGACATCCAGTTAAAAAATAATAGCAGGAGAAGCAGGAAATAAAAGTAGCAATATCATTTCACAAAAAAAATATATATAAATAAAATTATTTTATTTCTGAGTTATTGAAACTTCGAATTTCTCATCGAGTTTATTGACACGTCCTTGCACCTTCACAAATTATAATTTTATTCTTAATACATGTACTTTAGAACAGTCACGGTGGCAATTTTGTTGTATATGAATGAAAACATTAAAACTATAATCTAAAAAAAAATCAGAGTTAAATGCCCGAAAGGAAAATCCGCGCTAACAGTACATTGTTAGTCCGTGGTCAGTGGTGTGTTCAGACTTTAACAATTAAGCACCACTTGAATCAAGAACATAACTCGTTCCTGTTTACAAAAGCAGTTTATGTTTCAGGGGTTTGTTCAATTTGTGAAACTCTGAACAGAACTCTTCAAGGACATACTAACGATACTAGTGAGGGTATTTACCGTCACACATTTCTTTTCTGAATTCTCTTTAACATTTTAATGCTAGTACTTATTGATACACAACAAAACTGCCACTGAACTTAAGTATTAAATAGAAGCGTCTGAACCCCAATTTTTTGCAAATATATACATAATAAAGGCATTGAACATTGGGGTTAACCATCTTTTGTTAGTTTAGCCCCCCCCCCCCCTTTTTCAACTAGCCCCCACCCCTTTCAGTTTGTTTCGGAGGCCTATGTTAAGAATAAAACTACAGTGAAGGGAAATAATTTTGTTACAGCATCAATGCTGATTTTGGTTCTTTCTATGCTTGCTGATTTTGATGCTTCCTTTGCTTGCTGATTTTGATGCTAGTTATCCTTATCCTGATCCTGGTTTGATCCTTATCCTGATGCTGGTTTGAAACTAGGTCAATGCTAGTAATGCTACCAGAATTAGGATTATCCTGCCGGAAGTGGATAATTCAAAAACAGCATCGCTATTTTAAGCCATTAAAAATAATTTTTGGGGTAATTTTTATTTGTAATTTGTATTAAATGACTTTCCTTTATCTGTTTTCACTTCGGTCAATGCTAGTTCTATCCTTTGCTTGCTGATGCTGATCCAAGTAATGCTGTTTTTTTAAATGCTGATGCTGATGCTAGTTCTATCCTGATCCTACTTATGCTGATCCTGATGCTGGTTTATGTAACAAAATTAGTTCCCTGCACTGTATAAATTGTGATAGTGCAAGAATTCGTCGATCAAACCCGTCCAGATATTTGAAGTTTCAGTATCTTATATACAGATGAAAAATTATATTTATTATATTTTCGTGTGAAATGCTATTATAATTGCAATATATGAGTCGTGATTGGACCTACAGAAAGTATGATAAAATTTTATTAAATATGTGTCTAAGCACTTTTAAATGTAAATCAAGAAGAATATAAGCGGGAAAATTCCACATTTGAATTTGCAATATATTTTATTGAGGAATTCCATTTTCTTATACAGCCTGCAGCCCTGGTTATTATGGACGTGATTGTACACAGAGATGTAGCATTCACTGTATAACGCCGTATCTGTGTGACCGATATAACGGGTCTTGTATTGGAGGTTGTGCTACTGGGTGGACTAATGATACCTGTGACAAAGGTTTGTTGTTCAGGTCGTTTTTATTTCACATTAATCGGAGATTCGTGGTATATACATGTAGCTTTTGTCTTCACTGTCTTCCTGCCTGGTTTTGTCCGCAAAAACAATAACCTTGTTCATAACTTTGGAGTAGGTGGGACTATGGCTTTTATATCTCACAGATGTACTTCTTGTGACAAAAACTTTTTCTACGAGTACAACCGAATTTGATCTCTTGACCTTCACCTTGGAGATTCACGTTCACAAAAAAAAATCAAACTTTAATCTTGAACATAGCTTTTGAACAGTTAGTGTCCGGGCTTTCACACTTCACTTGTATATAAATTCTGACAAGAACTTTTAATGAGTATCAATATTTTTGAGATGTTGGCGGTTACCTAAGAGTTGTTCCCATTTAGTAAAAACTGGAGCTTTGGTCATTAATTTTGAACATTTAACTACGGTTTCCACAGGAGCAATGTAGACCTTAGATTTTGACTTGCGTTTAAAAACATCAATCTTCGCCATTAGCTGCAACACAGAAGCTCCAGTGTTTCACAAAAATATCTTGGTTTTTTTTTAATTTAATCTCAATATTTCAACCATTTTCATTATGATACATCTACTAAAATCTATTTATTCCCTTTTCCAGTTGATACAGATTATTGTAAGTATTGTCTCTTTACATACGAATCAATGTCAATTTGCGCTTGCCTAGGAGGCTTTCATCAGATTCATAAAGGGATTTTCCTTGACATACCTGTTTTTTTTTTCGAAAAAGGTGTTGATTGGGCACCATCAGATGTATCCGTATCTTACCATAACATGACATGGAAGAAAGAAGAAAATAACAACATTATAAGATATGACCCTGCAGTGACATTTCTCTGCAACTTCAGTTTGAAATCCGATGAAGAGTTGTTATATGACGTCATTTGGTTCATTGATGGACAAAAAGTTGTCAGCCAAACATTTGATAAATCCAATAATTATACAGCAGTTATAACGGCTCATGATATGTTGAAAGCAGAGAAAAGGATTGGATCTGACGTAAGTGACTATTATCCAGAATATATATATTATTTAACTTTAAAAGAGTCCTGATTTGCAGGAAAAAATAAATTTCATAATTTAAGGACCCTCTCTACACGACTGCAAGATTTTTTTTGGACATTGAGAAAAATATATTGTGTAAAGGATTTAATATTGAGTTATTTATTTAATTTTCAATGTATGGTGCGTGGCATTAACCCCCGGGAAAATTGTTCGAAGACAACACTGTATCAGTGAATAGAAATCACTGTAAATTACTTCAATGGAGAAATTACATCTAAATAACACTTTCAGTTAATTTATTTTGGCCTTTTAAATTGTTGAGAATACTTGAATTGATTACAAATTGAGCAATATTGTGTAAATTTCTATTTTTTAGAATTTAGATCTAAGGGCAGATCATTCTAACTGCAGAAAAAAACCTTAGAATCAGAACTCTTTAGTGTGCAGTGTAGAGAGGGTTCTTAATACCGTGACTTGCTAGTGGAAATATTTTAGCGAGACGCGAATTTAGCGATTTGTCCTTAAAAATGGGTATTTTATTTTTAACGAGAAGTAAGTTTACCGATTTTAAAAGTTATTTTAAGAAGCTATTGCAAATAAAGCGCAATTATTTTTAGCAATATTCAGTTTTAGCATCTTGAAACCCTCGCTAATAATGCCACTAATTAACTCTTTTATTTATGGATTTTCCTTGCAAAATATGTAAAAATTGATTTAAATTTCAAAATATATAATAATGTATTTGTCAATCAAAGCGAGATAAACTCTATTGTAGATTACCTGTTTGTCTGAAGGGAAACAATTTAAATTGGAAGCTTTCGATTAAGTAAGACATGTCATGATTTTATCACCTGTTTGTTTCATTGTAAGGTACACTGCAAAGTGGGCGCAAAACGCAAAAGAGAAAACGTTCCATGTCTTTACAAAGTTGGAAATCCATTTTTTGCTGGAATAAAGGTAATTCATGTAAAGCTTAAATATGCCATAATGTGACACTTACTTGCTTCTATTTATTAAGTATAACAAGTTAAGTAGTATATCTATATTTCGTATAATTAGTAGTAATTAGTAGATAGCTGTGGACATTTTCGTCGTTTCATTAATCTTAATAATCATTGCAATCGTGTCTGTATTGTTTAAAAGGCGTTCCGTGTCGCGTGATTGGCTTGGATGTAAAGTGATTAGTATTTTTGGCTATAATTTAGGTGAGAGTGATGGAGCCAGATAGGACAAAATTTGTGCGTCTCAATATGAGTGAAAATTTCTTGAGAGGAACGTTACACAACATAAAATCAATCAATTAATCGAATGTTTAATGTACTGTTTGTGAACAACATTTTCAGAGTAAAAATACATTTTCTCTCTTAGATACTGAATCCAACCATTGAGTTAGAAAGAAAAGGATCAAAGAATGTCCAGTTAGAGATGACAATACCATGGGCCTCCGAATCGCTTTTTTTAAATAATGTTCCTCAACCAGTGAGCGACCTGAACATACATATGACCTTTAAAACAGACGATTCCTCTACATGTGGTGGAGGGGGCTCCTCCAATCAGTGCGAGGTCAAAGTTAAAAGCTTTAACTACAATGAAAAACACAAGTACGAAAACGGCGAATGGAGGCAGAACATTTCATTTCCGGTTTATAGTCAAGACACGGATGGTTACGTCATAAACAGTCAGATGACCTTAAGATTAAAGACGGGGGGAACTAACGGTGTTGGAAGTAAAATATTCGAGCACGTGTCTTTGCCCGACATTTCGGTATGCTTTTTGTAACATTCAAATCTTCAATATAAAGATGCAAAATGAATTTTTTTTATTACGGTTATTGATGTATCTGTAATTTTTGAAAGATAATTATTAATCATTTATAAAGCGCATTTCCCTGATATATATATTTTTTTAATTCTAAGTGATTATTTATCGCAATGTATTTTGTATTTTTCACACATCTGGAATCACATTTATACAAAGCTTATAGAGGTAAGGTTTGATTTATGTTACAGATAAGTGTTCGAGAAGGAAATGAAAACTGGAAAGGAAGATCGTGTGGTGTAAGAGCAGATCCGCACATGTATACTTTTGACGGAAAGTAAGAAAAAATCGTTTCTTAACAATCTTCACAACTCATTTTACGAAAAAACACACTAAAGTTTGACCTTCTTTAAAACAAATAGCATTGCTTCAAATTGGTCATAACATTTGATAGAGAAAAGATAGGTCTTTCATGTAATTATAACACATGTTTATTACATGTACCTGTGGCATGGCCTTTCTTTCTACACTATGATTTCTTATCTCTTGACATTTAAGTTTGACCTACTTTTCAAAAAAATAAACATTACATGTTTTTGAATAGCCTAGCCACAACTTTGAAAAAAGAATTGTAGGGCTTTAAAATGTGCATTACCTGTGACAAGACCCTTCTAAATACACTATTATACTTTTATGATTTTAATTCCATGGCAATGACTTTCACTTTTGATCAACTTTTCAAAACCTTTAATCTCAGTCATAACCTTGAATGAGAAGTGATAGAGCTTTTCATATTTCAGATTTACATTACCTTTAATTTGATAACACAAAACTTTGTCCCAGCGAAATTTTAAAATTTGGCCTATTTTTCTAATATGATATTTTCCATATAACTAATGAGAATTAAGATATAAGGCTTTTATATTTGACATGTGCATTGCCTGAAACTAAATGTTTCCGAGCAAGCTTAAATTTTTGACCCTTTGACCTTCCCCTTCATGTCTGACCTATTTTTGTAATTTTGGCAATTACTTTCCATGACATGATTGCAGTACATATTAACTTCTTTGGCTTGAAAAATGAAGGGAGTACAGATTTGATCCGAAATGCCATACATAATGACATCCTATCCACTAAAACACCGAAAGGGGGGGGGGGGGAGCACAGTTTATCTGAACCTGCTTATTTAACGAAACCTTTATTATGTTCCCCAAACGAAGTTGGGGGAACATATTGTTTTTACTCTGTTTCTTATTATTATTATTAAGGTCTTCCGTTTCCAACGGAAGACCTTCTACTGATTCTGTTGTTTCTTTTCCACTATTATTATTATTTTTTTTTCTTACTGATTTTGTGCAGGTGATTTCTCGAGAACGCCTCAACAGATTTTTATGAAACTTTCAGCAATGATGGCAAAACATATGAACTTAGGGCGTTTTTTTTTATTTTGCCGTCGTCATCGCGATATAACAATTTTCTTTTTTTTAAGTGTCATTTTTGAACAAAAACGGTTAGAGATTGAGTCTTGAAACTTTCAGGGATGATAGATTGTGACAGGCTCTACTGAATTTTGTATAAAGTTTTTGTTGCCGTCACGTCCGTTGTCCACCGGAAGTAGTTTAAAAATATGCAAAATTTTATTTTTTTCTTTTTTAAATGTTTCTTATGGAGACAAATAGAGTGTCTCGAGTAATATTATGTCCACCGGAAGTTATTTTTTCCAAACCGGAAGTAGTCCAAAAAATGAGCATTTTTCATCGATATTATCAGGGATGATTCCTTCACACTCAGAGAGGAGTTAAGGTCATTTAAAGTACTTCCGGTCACACCGGAAGTGAATTATAAAGACCGGAAGTTGTCTGAAAATTATAGATTTCACTCTTAAATGTGTTCTCACGTATTTTTAGGAATTGATATGAATATTTTTTTTCATTTAAAGTTGTTTTATGATCGTATCAAAAATCGAACGGAAGACCTACTCGTTGCTCGCAACGAGATCTCCTCTAGTTATGTTCCCCAAACGAAGTTGGGGAACATATTGTTTTTACTCTGTTTCTTATTATTATTATTCTTATTATTTTTCGTCCTGGGAAAATTTTGTCCGCGAGTGATCTTGTAAACTACACATCCGACTAAGGTAAAATGTTTTTAGGGTTAGTAGACATGTTATTAGATTTGCCGAACGAAGGTTTTTTGCGTTTGCTTGCAAGAGCGCGCACGTGCAACAAGTGAAATGACCAATATAATGGATATTGCTGTTACTTTTCTTTTTTTTGATGAATTTTTTTTAAACTCATAATGTAAGGATACATTAGTAGTATAGACAAGATGGCATGGTCAAAATAGTAAGATCTCACGCGCATGCACGTGCGCTTCGCTCTGATTGGCTGAAACTAAAGTCTCAATATCTTTCTTGTTTCTTGTCATAATCTTTTGAAATTTTGAACATAGTCCTACATTATGAAGATGCAGTATGCTATATAAAAATGAAAGCATGCGCATGCGCGCGTGCTGCGATCATTGGCTGAAACTTTAAATGGCTATATCTCCTTTGTTTTTTGACGAAATGCTTTGAAATTTAAAACATAGTCATGCATTAGGATATCCTAAAATATGATATAGGAAAAATATCATGAAATCACGCGCATGCACGTGTGCTGCAATCTGATTGGCTGAAACTTTATATGGCTATATCTCCTTTGTTTTTTGACGAAATGTTTGGAATTTTAAAATGTCGTCAATCATTTAGATATCCTCCAATACGATAAAGATAAAAATTAATGAAATCACGCGCATGCATGTGTGCTGCAATCTGATTGGCTGAAACTTCAAATGGCTACAACTCCCTTGTTTTTCAACCAAACAGGATGGGATTTAGAACATAGATAAATATAAGGGACCCCTACAAAAAGGTTTAGTCATTATGCACGTGCTTGCACGTGCCTGCACGTGAAATGAGTAAAATTTAAAAATACACTCGAATGAGTGTATTTTTTAATACCTTGGATAAAATGCCTTGATATTAAGTATATTAAAATTTTAAAAAAATAATATGGTCGTCACGCACATGAGATGCAATGCCTATTTTTAAATGTATTTTGTATTTTCTAAGACCTTGATTAAGTCTAAATTCATAAAGAATTTCTTACTTAATAGAGATTACAGGGAAATGGCACCAAAAGGGAGTTGGGGAGCGTTTGGGGAACAAAAAACGGTCCCCGTTACAATTAGCACTAGTTATTATTATTTTTCTTCTTCTTCTTCTTCCTGGGTACTTTTTTGTCCGGGAATGATCTTGTAAACTGTTCGTCCTATGTAGGTAAAATATTTTTAGGGTAAGTAGGCATGTTATGTAGATTTGCGGAATGAAGGTCATTTTGCCCGCACGTGCTTGCAAGAGCGTGCACGTGCAACACGTAAAATGACCAATATAATCGATATAGCAGCAACTTTTTTATTTTTTGATGAATTGCTTTGAAACTCATAATGTGAGGATATATTAGTAGTATAGACATGATGACATGGTCATAATAGCAATATTTGCACGTGCGCTTTCTGATTGGCTGACACTAAAGTCTCAATATCTTTCTTGTTTCTTGTCATAATCCTTTGAAATTTTGAACATAGTCCTACATTATAAAGATCTACACTGATATATAAGAATTTTTAAGAAAGCATGCGCATGCACGTGTGCTGCAATCTGATTGGCTGAAACTTTATATAGCTATAACTCCCTTGGTTTTCAACCAAACAGGATGGAATTTGGAACATAGATAGATATAATGGACTTCTACAAGAAGGTATGGTCACCATGCCCATACGTGCGCTGCCATCTGATTGGCTGAAACTTTAAACAGCTATAAATCCCTTGGTTTTCAACCAAACGGGGTGGGATTTAGAACATAGATAGATGTAATGGACTTTTACAAGAAGGTATGGTTACCATGCTCATGTATGCACATGCGTGCACGTGAAATGAGTAAAATCAAAAATACACTTGAATGAGCGTATTGTTTAATACTTTTGGATTAAATACTTTAATTTTTAGTGTATTTAAATATATAGATTGTATAGGCAAGATGATATGGTCATTACGCACATGCATTCACACGCGCACGCGTGTGATGCTAAAATTTGAATGAACTTGGTACACTTCTGGGTAAACGTTGGTAAAGTCAAAACAGTTTGTCTTATTTAATGAAGTTTACAGGGAATATGGCACCAAAAGGGAGTTGGGGAGCGTTTGGGGAACATCTGTAACGGTCCCCGTTACAATTAGCACTAGTTTTTACATGTTTCTGTATTTGATGAAGCGTTTGAATGAAACAAGACTAAATACTGCTTAAGACTCTCTGCTAAGGGTTGGTACCTTGAAATTGTGAGCTGCATATATGCATAAATTACATTATCATGTAAAATATATTATTTTTGAAAGTAACGTTCCTAAAGAAAATACTGATGAAGTGATATCCGTCTAAAGTGCTTAATTTAATTTTTTCTTTATGTTTGGTTACGGGCTTATATAATTAAATGCAAAAAAAAAAACATGAGATGTATATAATTCTTACAGGGAAAAATCACTCTTTTACAATGTACTTATATGGCAAATATTTTTGTAGATGGTAACATATAAGTTTAAAGAAGGCAATCAATTTAGTGGGATTCTTTTTATTAAATGATTTTATTACAATAATAATTTGCCTATAATCTACGATATGATACATGAAAAAAATGTCGTCTATCAGATATTTATTTTAGAGATAAAATAATCATTTTTTCTCTCCTTCAGATCATACGAATGTCAGATACCAGGAAAATTTATAAATTATCGAAATCAACATCAACTACAATGGGTAGGTGTGATTAATCTTAAAAGCCTTTTTTACTGTAGTTTCCTGGTGATAAAATTTAATTACGTACCTGAAGTATTTACACATAAACATTTATTACCAAAAGCCGGGAGTGTCTAAATGATGCCAGAGGATAGAAACTTAGGCATACATTCATGTGAACCCCTCTTTAAATATGTTTGCTTGCCCTTAATTTTGCGACTTGGAAAGCATCGGGTTGGTAGGGGAGTAAATTTTAAGGCAGACGACACATTTCTCTTGCATTTCTTGTTATTATATAAAAAATATACATTTTTGTCATTCTCTTGGGATTTCAACATTGTTTTCAATATGTTATTAAAATATGAGTACAACAAAAATTGTGATACTGGCCAATCAGTTGATTACCCATGTGGGATTTATTAGAAACATCACCCTGTGCTATCATGGCCAAATGCCTGGTATGGTGCCTTAATTTTATGTGAGAAAATTCCTTTAATATCCAGACTTCAATGACATATTATTGCAAAAAAATTATTTATTTTTGAGGAATGTGTCGTCTGACCTTAAACCAAAATACAAGGAAATGACGTTTAAAAAAGTTAATTGGATAAAAAAGGGGGATTATTTCTATTTTGTACGTAAAAGAAAAAGGTCAGGGAAATTTTAGTCAGTCTGTATAAATTTGGCAAACATGCTTTTTTTCAATGATGGTCTGAGTTATTATTTTTTTTTTTCTAAAACTTTTAACTAAATTTCAGATTCAGTCTAAACATCATCTTTGTATCCCTTCATACGATGGTCCTTGGTGCGTCTGCGCAGTCGCAGCTAGAGCAGGAAGAGATGTCTTCGTCATAGATTTGTGTGGAGAAAATAACGTCATCAGCTATGACCTGTGTGAGGACAATGTTTTAAAAGTCACAAAAATCCACGACAAGTATTACAAGGTTAGAACGTTAAACAAACTTAAGTCAGAACAAAATTCTTTCCATTAAGGTAAGATTCTTCGCACACAAAACTGTATTTCTTGTAATTAAAAATTTTGGAAATTCTCACAGAATCAAGATGACAATATTAATAAGTGATGGTATCAATTACATAAGTTTTGACCGTTTTATATTAAAGTCAAGGTCAGGTCAAGGTCATTACCTTTTCCATGGTCATTAAGAATAAAAAATAACTGCATCCAATCATGAGATAGTGTCTTCTATTTCCAAAGATAAAATGTTTTTTCTATTTTCATAAAAAGATATTAACATATAGGGTCTATGAGATGATATTACCCAAATTGACACAAATAGTGACCTAACAAAAATGGATTTTGGCTCATCCGAACATTTTCTTCTTCTCTGAAACCACTGAACCAATTTCAACCAATTTTTACAGCATATTAAAGTTATTTTTATATGCGCCATATATTTAAAAAGTTTTCTTTAAAAATCTTTTCACTATGGAAAAAAGTCAAACTGTGGTATGATATACAAAAATGGTACAAAAACAAAAAAGTTTTGAAGGGTTTAGTATATATAGTGAAAAACATAAATTCTATGAATTTTTTGCTAAGTACATAGTTTATATTTAAGATTTGTGAATTTTAACATAAATGTAGTTTGTTAAGGGGAAATTCAAATTATATTGAAAATGATATATTCTTTGAAAATCTTGTTCTCTTCTGGATATCAAATAAAAAAGTCCATAGTTATGATAGTTGCCTCTTTCAAAATTTGAAAAATTCTATGGCCCCAAGGTAGTCTTCGATTATATGTGAAAAAAATTAAAACTAAATTCTGCTCCTGGGTATCAAATAAACAAACAATTTTATGAGGACCAAAAAAGATTTGTATTTTCATACGCCACCAGGGGTTCTGGTGTTAAGGCTGGGCTCTATATATTGTGAAAATGCATTTATTATTTAAAAATTTGTCCTTTCTATTAAATAAACAAAGTACATAGTTATGATGAGCAAGAATGGCACCTCAACCAAATTTGTGTTCTTTTAAATCTCTGCCACTTTAGATATATTGATTATATAAGAAAATATATTCTTTGAAAATCATTTTTTATCCACTACATGTATTACATGTAAATTATGCCAATTATCTAAGTTTTTATATATTTATGATGAAAAAACATGCAATACATGAATTTTATGCCCCTTGTTAACATTATGTTGAAAATAAATTAACTTTGAAATACATAATCAAATATATACGAAAAAAAGTATATGATAAAATTTTAAAAATTTAATAAAGTCCGTGGGTAAATCCAGGTGCATAACTGGTTATAAAGTGTAAAGGTTATGTTTTTTAGTAAGATAAGTGTATAATTATGATAAGCAATATGTTAAAAATTAAAACATTGGTTTAAAACACGAAATAAATTCAATTGTCAAAAGTTGTTACATGACACATGGAATAGGCCTCTTGTCTTTAATCTTACAATGAAAAGTTATTTTTATATACGCCTAAAGTTTTCGTAATTCGCATATGGTAAAAAAGTAATGATATATGATACAAAAACTAAAAAAATTTTGAACGTTTAGTATTAGGGAGTAAAAACATTTTCTATATATTTTTTGCTCATAGCACTTAGATTGTAAGATTTTAAAAAAACATAAATGTAATTTGTTTGGAAAGCTATTTGCATCAAGCGTTAACATTTGAAAAATTCTTCTAGTCTTCGATTGTATAAAAATTATAACTAAAGTTCTATAATAATTTTGAGAGCAGCTGAAAAAAGATATTTTCATACGCCACCATTCCCCCAAAAATACATGTATATATAGCTCTCCAACACTCCAATTTTATTTAAAGTTGTACAATTGTGATGAGGAAAGAAAAAGATGGTCTTTTAAATCTCTTTCACCTAGATATATAAGATATATAAGCAAATATACATTGACTATTTTATCCACTCAAAAACCAAAGAAGAATCCTACCTTTAGTAAAGTGCACTGAAACATGTATGTTAAAGATATGTTAAGTGTTAACAAATAAATATATACATAAGGTATTGTATAATAAAGTCCGTAAATCCACCATACCAGTTATGGTAAAGGTTATGTTTTTTAGAAGATAAAATTCTTATGCCAATGTTAAAAAGTAAAACATTGTTGTATCAATGAAGAATTGTCTTGACACATGGAATACTCCAATGGAATACAAAAGCCTTATAATACGCCGTTCAAACCTTACAGCCAAGAATAATTAAAGTAATGTATGGTAAATTTCGCAAACGTCTATAACGGTCTAAGGGAGTCAAATACATTAGTACCTACATAAATGCTTAGTCACAAAAGCTCTTGCATCAAGCGTTCAAAGTTATTGGCAAGGTTAAAGTTCTAGCGGACAAAAAGAAAATTAAACAGAAATCGCTCACGAATTAGTTAGTTAATTAATCTTTTTACTTGTACATGTATGTACTGTATAGAGAAAACGCTTTCTTAACAAGTATATGTTTACGATTGCAAATGTATTTCACAGTTTTGTTCTGGTTCCAGTAATGTTTTTTCATGTGTATACTACTCCAAAATATATACATTTTATTTTATATTTACATTGTATAATTATTAATAAGCATATATATTCAGATATATTTCCCCACTGGTACGTCACTTGCCATTTATATCATGGAATGGAGTGGACATTATAACATCGACCTAGAGATCCTCCCGTCTGCAATGGATATAGGAAATGCTGATGGTTTATGTGGGTACTTTGATGGCGTTAAGGAAAATGACTTCAGAAGGAGAAACAGTACCATTACAGACGACATCAGTCAGAGTTATCCTAATGACTTCTCTAGGTCATGGATGTAAGTTTAAAGATCAACGTTTACAAAAAAAGTGATATAACGTGATTCATCCGATGTCAAATAAAATTTGTTAACCATTTCCTTTATACCTAGGATTCCGGACAACGAAAATCTCTTCAGTGGTAACTCCTTAGTTTATAGCAGTTTGCAATCAGTGTCCTCGATTCTAGTACCTCACTGCGCATGCACGGAGGACGGTAAAACCCAGTGCTCCTACAATACGTTTACACCCTGCAACTCAAACCGAGGCAAACAGTATGAGTGTAATGTAGATCTTGTACAGAACAGAAGACGAAAACGGGATGTTTCCGATATGTCCATGGAAAGAGATCCTTTACTTGTATGTAATTAATTCCTAAAATTTATTTCAATTATTATGTTAAAATACTTTGAAGTTATTTGCGTCATGAAAACCTTTAGATTCATCATGTTTTCAAGTCAAAATATAGAATTTCATACTAATTTAATTGAAATAAAGATATAATCTTCTGCGAAAAATTAACAATAGTATCATCTTGATAAAATGTTATTCATTTAACAATTTCAGAGAAGGAAACGCACGATTTCCTACGTACAGACGACTGAATACTCAGAGAGAGTTTGTCTCCAGGCTTTTGAAAATTCACCCGAATACAACATCTGTCAAAAACATGTGACTGACCTTAGTAATGTCACCTTGTCGAACTGCATCGAAGACATAAGAGTAGGTTTATTACAAGAACTTTATATGACGATTTAGGAATATACTGTGGTATCTTTTGTTACAGTATAAAATAATTTGTACAGTAAAACATGAATACAGCAAACATGCTTATAATGAATTGAAGTTTAAAAGGAAGTGATTTCCTATTATGTAACTCTATTATATATTATTAACACAACAATTACGCTTTAAAAAATCAAACCAGTAGGTACATCGTTTTATGCTTGTCTATGTGGTCCGTCTTTGCATATAGAGGTTTGAACAAAAAATATCGAATGCATAAGTCTCTTTTCAGTTGACAGGCGATGATAACCTAACACAGATTCACGTTGAAGCCGCTCTACAGCAATGTTCTACTTTTGTGCTTTTAAATGCCACACTGCAAGAGGCAGAACCGGAAGTAACGTATACAATACAAAACCTCTGTCCAAGCAACTGTACCGGACGTGGCACTTGTGATGGCGGTACGCCAATTATTACATCATACGAGTAAAGAAACTGTATTTGCTTATCTTCTCATTTAAAAAAGAAAAAAGAATTTGCAAAATCCAACATATAAAAAATAAGATTAAATAATTTTTAAACGTAATTTCACATTTTTTATTAATTTTTAAAAAAATGAATTATAAGAATTTTATATGTTACAAAGATTTCATAGTCATTTCACGATCATCTCAGATGTGGACAACATGTTTACCCTATATTTATTTTAAGGTAACTGTACCTGTGACACTGGCTTTGGAGGAAGCGACTGTTCCTTTGATTTACTCGCACCTCCTACCATAACAAGCGTTCCCGGGGCCGGACTGTGTGATCTGTCCTCTAAAACCTGTAAAGAGGCAACAATAATGGGAAAATATTTCTTTGAAAACATGGACTCAATATGCTATCTAACTGTGAAACAGGTACTTCTGATTGTCATTTGAATATATAATAAACGTTCAATTATAGATGTCTCGCAAAGTGATTAGGGCCATCGTCGACTTAAACCTTGGCTGCAACAAACCTAAGATAATGAATAAAGAAAGTGCTTGTTCATTCGTCAAAAGTTTTGTACATGTACTTTAAATTAAAAGTTGTTGGATTCTTGAATGCATTGCTGAAGAAAATTTTATGTGATACGATAGAAGTTTTTACGATAATGATCCCTTACTCAATGGCCAGGTTAACGTCTAAATTTGAAGCTCTTCACCGCTACTGTATGACGTTTTCATACGGTAAATGTTTTCAAAAGGGACGTAAAATAACACACAATTAATCCTTCAGTGTTAATAAACTTGTTCTTTTGACAACATTATATCATCATTTCATTTTTCGGCAATAACACTTTTTTTTCAATTTTATTTTTCAGACAAAGATTAACCAAACAGAAGAAAGTCATCAAAGACAGATGAATTTACAAGAGAGGACGTTATTTGAGGGATACTGCCCGCTTCTGTATGAAACAACGGGTATCTGGACGACCGAAATCAAGTTTAACATCTCCAATGACGGAGTACGTTATACAGACACGTATAATGTTATCGTATACCAATCGCACTGTCAGGAGTACAACAATGAGTCAGGAAATGTGTATTTCACCTTAAAGGTACGTGCTGCTCTCTCTCTGTGTTAAATTTTTCTAGCTATTTTGAAAAATCTTTTTTGTGTTTGTTACATGCATTCGTTAAACTGGAAAATCTTGTTTATATATTTTTTGCAGGACGATTTCTGTTACATCGATAGTGTGTGCATTAGCCCGATGCAGAATAGATCAACCAATGAGTGTCTTTACTGCAATTCAACAAATCACCAATTCAACTGGACAGAAAATCAATGCAAGTATCTTACTATCATACTTTATATTTTCCTTTTGCATTGTATGGGGATGTGATTTGAGCTCCAATTAAAATTGTTAACAGTACATGTAGTAAAGTTAAGTATAATAAATTGTATTTTTTTATCTATGTAGCATGTGGACAAACAACAACAACAGAGAGTATGTCAACAACAATGACTCACACTGACACAGAATCCACGATGAGTAGATCAACAGAACAAATGGAAGAGACTACAAGTTCTATAACGACTGCTGAACAAGACGAAACAACATATACAATAACAACCTCTCAAGGCACAAGTTTGGAAAACAAGGTCACATCTTTGGATTCTTCTTCTTTTGAATCAACAACATTAGCGTCGACAATAACAACATCAGCTGAGTCAGCAGAGATGACGGAAGATGTACCAACCTCAACTGGGGATACAACTACAATGATATCAACAACTGAATCAACATTCAATCCACCGACAAGGGCATCAACGACAGCGGAAAAAACACAAGCATTCACTACCAACCCGCCAACTACAACAAACCAAGAAACTACAACTGAAAGCTTAACAACTACTGAACCAATCACATCGCCATCAACTACTACAAACAAGGAAACAACAACTGAAAGCTTAACATCTACTCAACAAATAACATCGCCATCAACTTTCAAAACAACATCTTCAGGAAAAACGACAACTACAAGTAACACAAAAACATTGACGTCCTCTCTGTCATCAACTTCCAAATCAATTACAACATCGGTAATAAGTAATGACGGCAAAACAACTGCAAAAGAAGATACATCTCCAGCTACAACAACCATTGAACTTAAACAAAGCCTCAGTATATCAACTTCGAAATCAACAGAAACCACCAATGAAGTTATGGACACTACTACATCATCTAACACAGAAGATTCCTTAGAAGAATCGAATCCGTCAAAAGTAACAAACACTCATTTGATCGTCGGAGCCTCGACTTCCATTGCTGGAATAGTGTTATTAATGATTATCATAGGACTGGTAGCCAGAAAATGTAGTAAATCGTAAGTATTCATTTCTTTTGATTTTAGGCCGGTTGGAATTTTTATTACGCATTATAATTGAATGTTGAGGAAAATAGCTTTCATTTAAAATGCATTTTATAAAAGTCTGCCGTATATGCTGGCCTCTCAGATAGAGGTTAATTTCATCATTTTTAAATAAAAATCAAATAAAACTTCTTTCAAATACAATATTTTTTTTTAAATTGTAAAGACTGTTTTGACACTGGATTAATTCAGTCATAAATGTATTTTATATAATTATTACATAGGAAGAAACAACACAATAAACAACAGGAAGACAATGGACCAATCAGAAACTGGAGAGACCTTGCATTGGCGGGAAAACAAAACACAGATTCCCGGGACAATGCCAACTCGTCCTTATTCTACAACAGAAATTCTTATGTTGGCCACGCACCTCTGCATCACTTCAAATCTAGTGGCGGATCTCGTCATGTGGACGGCAATAAATATCAAAGATATTGACAATTTTAACCTCATCCTCTCTTGCACATTTATAATAATTATACTGTTCTTGTAGTAACTTGATTTATATATATCGTTTGCTTTTGTAGCTGATTTAGATAACAAATAAATACTGTTTATTGATGACCTAACATATTTTGTATAATTTGATAATTCTTTTGAGTATGTCGTTTTTTTTCCTTGTAAAGAGGATTTATGTTTGAAAGTAGAAAAGATTGTTACATTTTAAATAGTAAACTTTTTAAGTATATCTAAGACAAAATAAAAATTGCATGCATATGAAGATTGTTTTAAGGGAATGTGTGAATATAAACACCAAGGGTATTACTGATCAAAATCGTATATCATAAATGTATATAATTTATGTGCATAGGGATATTTTCATAGAACTGTGTACATCGATAGGCATTCAAGGTTAAAGTGGAATTCCAATGGATTTCAAAAGTCATCAACAGTGAAATAATCATACATATTACCTATTCTAACGTCGAATCACCCAATACCGTCAATATACAAGAATAATTAGATTGTTTAGACGTATGAAATGAATTTGATGTTTATATAGAGAAGAGGAACAGTAATAAAGCTCAAATGCCCATGGAAACAAATGCATAACAATTGACATAAAAATGTCGGACAAAGAAAGGACCAAATGAAATGTTTTTGGGTTTTTTTACAACGTCAATGTAACGACTGTTGAAAATACGAAATTTTGACTTAAAAAATTTTGTTCGAATTCTGCTTCCTTGAAATGTTTATTTGCTGCCTGTTTGTAATTCGAGCACTTGAAATAAAATTAGTTCTGTAAAAACTTTCTTTCGGTAGTGTCTTTGGTTAGTGAGCACTGGGATCACTAAATGATACCCTCCCATATGATTATAGTGGCAAATTATATGTTTTGCTCTGGAAACCAGAAATAGGAGTTGGATCTAAAAGTTAAATCAGAGGTGCACAATGGTATTATGTAATAAAGAATCTGTATAGAGTATTCTTAGATTTTATTCAGGTGTATAGGAGTAGCTGCGGATAAAAGAAACCCGAAACATGTGTCTGATCAAAAAGTAAAATTATAGGAGGTGCACAATAGCACTACGTAAACAAAGATTCTGTGAAAGTCTCACTAAATTTCATTCCGTGGTATAATAGGAGGTGTGGATAAGAGATGGGTTACGCCAAAGCGAAACAGACGGACGGACATCCCCATCACTATATATCCTCCCACTTTTCCAACGGGGTGTATAAAAAAAGAATGAAGTTACAGACAAATGTGAAATGTTCCTCGGAGAGTGTTACAGGAACATATGTCAATACAATAATTTAAAACCAAATCATCGCTATATCATTACTCTCCCGATGTTTATGTATTGAGCTAAAAAATACCGACTACAGTGCACGTGAACAATTCCCAGGGGAAATTGTGGAGAAACGGAAAGCCTTAATGCCCGTTATGCATGCAGCGTTAGGACAAAATAAAGAAGCAGTGTTGAAGTACGATAAACTTTACATCAGCGGTAAACTGTACAAGGGAGGGACCACATGGGAAACTGAGGGTGACAGAGATGAACACGACGAAGACGAGCCCGTGGCGAGTCAAACACAGGGTGCCGAAAATTGGGGAAGTGATGCCTAGGGGATAGTGGAGAATGATTGTGTAAAAGTCATTAGTTGGAACATAAACGGAGGGTTTTCGTCTAAATTCAACGATGAAAATTTCCGTTGTTTTATCCTCTCATATGACATCATCCTTTTAACGGAATGCTGGATCGAAAAGGAGTTCTCTGTTGAGGTGGAAGGATTTTATAGTTTTGTTTTTCCTAGAAAATTTTCAAAATCTAAGCAAAGTGGAGGTTGTATTACTCTAATTCGTAAAAATATTAAGCAGTATGTATCTGTTCTTGAAAATATGTATGACACTATTAAAGGGCTTAAGCTTGATAAATGTATATTACAAAGCCCTGAAGATATGTATATGGCCTGTGTGTATATACCACCAAGCAGTTCTAATTTCTACCAAACTTATGATTGCGATATATTTAGTGATCTCGAAAACCAAATTGTTGAATATATGAATTTTGGGAAAGTCATGTTGATTGGTGACACTAATGCAAGAACAGCAAGCGCAAATGATTTCATAATGCATGATATATTACATAATGATGTTTTGAGAGAATTGAGTGAAGTTTTATTTTATGGCGTAGATACACATATCCAAAGTAGAACAAATCCTGATATGGTTGTTAATGATCTGGGTAACAAATTATTATCACTTTGTAAAAGTAGTGGGCTGAGAATTTTGAATGGGCGTCATAAGTCGGGTATGGACAAAGATTATACATTCGTTGGCCCAAGGGGCATGAGTGTTGTAGATTATGTTATAACTACCCCTGATGTATTTCCACAAATTGATCAGTTTATTGTTGCAAATTTTAACATGTATTCAGATCATGCACCTCTTCATCTTAGATTGAAATCAAAAAATATTATATGTAACTCAATTGTGAATAGTGAGAGTGAAAACCAAGTTTATTCGCAATTCGTCTGGAACCAGAATTTGTTTTCCCAAGCCAGGTCAGCTTTAAAGCCGCTTAATCCGAAACAGGCACATATTATCTTACACAATAAAAGTAGGTCATTACTTAGATAATATACAAACATAAATTGTGAGATTGGTTTAATAGTTTATTACAACAATTCTTACGTGGAAAACATAGATCAAAAACCTTATTGATAAACAGAAGTTCCTGACAGGAAGTTAAGATCTGTTGTGAAGTCACCTTTGTAAAAAATAAATTTATCGGTTTTATCTAATTATGAAGATAATTCAAACCCGAGTATTTTTATTTCCATTAGTAGAAGCCTAAGTCATTGAATATAATCCATAGTAATTTTTATATTAATATGCTTAGTTAAAGAATAAAGGAAAATCAGATATTTACTTTAAAGGAAATTTAGTAACGAAGGCTAACATATTGTCCATGTACAAGTACTTTGTTGTTAAAAAAATGCTCGGGTTCGATCTTCATGAGATATACATGTAAGCAATAAATTTAATTTTTCGAAGGTGATTTCACGCGATATAAACATAGGATTATTTTGTGTGACCTAACAAAAATTATTTTTTTTAACTTTTGAATTTTGATATCTTTTGAAAGAAAAAGACTTCGGGGATATAATTTGACAAAAAGTGAAACAATTTATGGACAATTATTTTGCAAGAATAAAAACGAATATATATTTTTAGCGATTAGAATCGGACCAAGCGGCTTTAATTGAGAATTCTGAAGATCTTGTGTCATGCTTACAAAACACCCCGTCAGAGTCCCAGTCTAGTATAGATGTATCGATCGATTTGCTTACAACACGTTTGACTGACCTTATGCGACCTTATTTTGAAGTTAACAAAAGGCCTACAAAACCGGTTCATAATCCAGGTGAAACAAGCTCTCATTTATGTGTGAAATTACCAGACCAACCTTGGTTCAATGTAGAACTCAAAGAAAAGTATAGGATTTATCGCTCAGCACTCACCCGTTTTAATAATACGAAAAACAGAGAAAACCATTTGAATTTAACCGAGGCTAAAAGAAATTACAAGCATTCTGAAGCAAAACTCAGAGTATTTACGGAAAGAAGGCGATTTATTGGATCATCTCCGGAAAGATAACCCAAAAATATTTTATAAGCATTTTCGAAAAAGAAAACAAAAACATACATCAATTGATTTGGAACTATTCCAAAGGCATTTTAAAGATTTATCTACATCTTCTTCCAATATGGATAACGAATCCCCCGTGGACACAGGAAATACCGTGTTTGAAGAATTAGATACTGAAATCACTGAAAAAGAAATATCGGATGCTATAGATTGTCTTAAACGAGAAAAATCTCATGGCCTTGATTATATTTTGAATGAATACTTTATAGAATTCAAGAATATATTTTTACCATATTTACATATTATTTTTAATCGTATATTAACATCTGGTTATTTTCAAACACAATGGTCTGATGCAATTATTGTGCCTGTTTTTAAGAAGGGTGATCCAGACGATCCCAATAATTATCGAGGTATAAGTTTTATTAGTTGCTGAAAATTGAATTGAGTGAATTTTGGCATCAAATGCGTTGAAACACTCCTGTAAGATGTTCTAAATGATGCTGTTAATCATAGTACTTTCCTTATCTCTAAAACATTATTCTTTAAAACAATGGCGCTGACTTTTTCTTTCTATGCGCGGTGTATTGGTAGTTGCCAGCATCTATTTGAGGCATCATTACCTCATTATGTTCTTTCAGCAGATAAATTCGCAGCGTCTACAGACCAGGGATGGACACTGAAAGATCGATTTCTCTCGTTTTAGTAAGGGAGTAAATGTCTTGAAAAAATATTCTCTAAGTAAGGAGGGGACGGGAAATAAAAATCACTGCAGGAATACTTATAACTCATTATAGGAACAATGGGGAATGTGGGGTAGTTCATAATATGTTGGGAGTATTTAACATGATTTTAAAAAAAAGGTCAAAGGGAAATTTAAAATGAAATTAAAACATTCAATCATTATTTCAATACGGATTTTTTAACTACCATAGTGACTTCTTTTTAAAACCTTTTCTCATCATTTTGATACATGAATTAGATATCGAATTGCTATTCTTATAATGGAGCAAAGTTTGTATAATGTGAATGTATTTAAATAGACACAATAATTTTAATACAGTTATTTTACAGGAATGCACCTGTTCTTTCTGATTTATTTTTTTTTCAGTTAACATGTAAATGTTGAAACTTTCTACTTTTTTTTATTATTTATACATAATTTTCTCACATTCTCATAAAGAATCAGAGGAGAAACAAAAAAATATAATAAATCTGCTGTAGGTCTGCAATTGGTTAAACTTGTTTTATCTTTATCCAGAATTGTAATATCTCGTACATTACTAATTGGTTTTTGTACTGCAATATGTGATCGTACCAATAACTTTGCGTAATAATTTAATAAAATAGTTCGGAATCAGTCATTAAATGTGTTTAACACGTGTTCATAATATGTAACAAATGCTTTTCAGCATTTCGTAAAAGCTTGTTTTGTTGATTTTTATTCAATAAACCTGACTTATATTAAAACATAGATTTCTTTTAATCACCTTTCTGTTATATTTCATAGTACATTATATTTTTTGAACAAATGAAATGAAAGGTAAAAGAACGATAATCAAATATTTCACATTGTTTATTACACGTTTTATAATGATAAACAAGAAAAAAAAATAGTAGATGGTGTCACGAGTCCATGGACATTTTACTTGTATATCTTTTTTGTTATGAAATATTTTAGCATTGGGTCATTTTTTTATTTGGAAATAGTCTCATGACTGAAAGGGTCTGCGCAAAGAACTGAGGTGAACTTTGTTTTCTGCTGCTGGTAAATACTTGTAGCTAGTCCTGTGTGAAAAGGCGTTGTAGCAGCCGCCAATGATATAACGCCGCTAAATGATACAAATATTATTTAGCGTTGCAACTGCAATGCTTAATGTCATAAATTATTGCATTAATGGTTGACCTTTTCAACCGCTAAATCGCTGCTTAATGAATGATATCATTTAGCGGATGAACATACTAACTATAAATGCAATGATTTATGACATCAAGCGCTGCATTGCAACGCTTAATGATATTTGTATCATTCAGCGGTGTTATATCAGTAGCATTTTTTACAAGCCGTCAATTTGATGTAGAAAGAAATCTTGGGAGTTTGACAAAAAAGACATCTGACTTTATAAAAGAATTATACAATATGGATAGACAATTATTATCCACTAAAGTGTTTCTTTTTTCTCTAATCAGAGTATCAATGAAATGATTAGCAACTTTCTGTATTATATATGAAAAACTTATTTTTAAAGATTCACTTTATGGAAGTAAATATATTGCATATCTCGTAATAGATGCTGTCTGTAACTGACCAGTCAGCGCTGGGTCATTCTCGCCTTGCCCACAGCAAAAAATTTGGCACACCCATCACCACCCCAGCTTTTCCTACCTTGCATTTATATGTTTTAAATTGATTTATAGATTATATTTGACACATTGGCATATTTTTTTTTGTAGTGCCATCTTTTTGCTGTATACCTACTGTTTTTATATTTTTTGCAAATATTGTTTATCTGTAAATTTAGGGGATCAGTATATTAATACGTATTTGTGCGATTACCTTTTGATCTGATCCCCTATTACGTGATGTATATATTTTTTTTCTTATTTCGTCCTTTTAATAAATGACATATTTCATCTCAACAATGGTGTTCATTTTATTTGATTATATCTCAGCAAAAACAGAGCTGCGGTGAGATTGTGCAGCATGAGGAAGCATAAAATATATTGTGTATCTCGTAATATGTAATGGGAAAGAACATTCTGATTTATAATCATTTAAATGTTTGGATACTAGTAACCTTTAATTCTGAATAACTTCTCACACGTATATCCCATAAACCAACACTAAAACTTATATGTATAGAGCTGCCCGGTCCTCCAGGACCGGGCTGCTATAAAATTATATACTTAGTATTTCACAGTTTTTTCATATTGTGAATAATTTTTAAAAACTCAAACATAAATGTTTGCATATTATTATCCCCTCGCGCAACTAGTTGCGGAGGGGATATAACATCGCGAATGTGCGTATGTGTGTGTGTTAGTGTGTTTGTGTGTAAGTGTGTTAGTGTGTCCGATACACCTTGTGGGGAAGACTGAAAGAAAACCTTTGCATTAACCATTCTCAGCGTTTACATACTTGTGTGGCGGTATAAAAGGACGAAGCGTATTTATTTTCAAGTTCATTAATGAAATATTTCTTTAGATATCGCGTTTTCACTGTCTCGAAACCCTGACATTTTATGTACGAGTTGACAATAATCATTTCCGCTATGGAACCAGTTTAAAAGCCAGTTTTAAAGTTTAAAAGGCGTGTCGAGTCTGCGGGAACCAGATTAAAAGAATTTGATGATTGTCGCGGTTTAATTACCAAAATCTAACTGGTGTCTGGGAATTTGGGGTGCATGTTATTCCTGTAAGCTGTAAATACAATCCACAAGTTCAATTAACCTCTCGATGTACATATGTACATTGTTATTTTTCATTACGAAAAAATGCACACTGCCTGGAACTGTGAGATATACTGAGGTAGGTAAATAATTATAAATACTGAAACTTATACATATAGCATACGTGATATGTTTCTGCAAAGTATAAGGGAAACTGCCCAATTACGTAACTATGCATATTATGCCCCCCCCCCCCCTCCCCACCAAAATGCTATGCTATGCAGTTTGATTTTTGTTAAAAATAGACATCCCCCACCCGATAATTTGTTTAAAAAACAATTTAATATCTTATATTAAACTTTACTACCCCAAATAAGGTATCCATGTTATGCCCCCCCCCCCCTTAACCAAGA